AGACGTTATATAACCGCCCGCCCGCCCGTACCCCTGTGACCTGTGAGACTTTCCATTCATCACACAAATTCACGCAAAGTTTTCGATGATTTTCATCTTTAACTGCAGGAAGAGCAAATCGAGTCCAACATGCAGATGGTTTAACTGTATTTACTCTAGGATTATCCACCAGTGTATATTTTCCTGGTTGATTTTTCAAGAAAAATTGATATTCGATGTATCGTACTTTATATCACCAATTGAGCATTCAGGTAGCGAACCACCAGCATCTGATGATGAATGACCAGTTGCTGTTGATAAAATAACACCAGGAGATTCGTCCGATGATAAATCATTTATTTTGATCGTTGGATTGATAAACGAGAAGAAGCTTTCAAAAATCACGATTTTCAAAAATCAAAAGACTTTTAATATCTTTTCACTTGGTGAAAAGAGTTTGAAATGATGAAAAATATGGAAGACACAAAGAACGACTGAGCTCTTTTTTCGATTGCTTGGAAGTAAGAGACCAATCAATATTCGCTGAAATTGAAATTGTAAAAGAGCGACACCTATTGATGCTTTTCACGGTCCTGCGCGGGCGACAGACAAATTCGGTCACTCGCCCGTCCCGTGCAGGGTTTTACCCGCCAAAATTTGCTGCCCCGCCCGCCGCGGGGCATAACCCGTGGATTGCATGTCTCTGCTTCTGGAGACAAAAGTCTTCTTCTGATTCATCATGAGTTCTGTTTGAGTCTCTAGTAATCGACTAACGGTTGTAAAATTAAATTAAATCAAAATTGTATAAAATCGAGTTTCATATTTATGTATAATTAAACGTTGTAATATTCATATAGAGTGAAATATTTGAATTGCATAATATAACATTCACCGCAAAACCGGGTGAATTAATAGCTATCATAGGACAAATAGCCTCTGGAAAAAGTTCATTACTCCAACTGATGCTAAAAGAAATGTCAATTAAAAGTGGAAAGATGACAATTAACGGACAATGTGGTTATGTTTCTCAACAGCCGTGTAAATCTATTTTTTAATAATTTATATCATTAAAGAAATCAATAAAAAATCATACTTTTCAGGGATATTCTCCGCATCTATCCGTCAGAATGTTCTATTTGGATTGGAGTATGATGAAGAAAGATTCAACAATGCTATTCATGCCTCGGCACTTGATACGGTAGAAAAAAAATGTATAAGCATCTAACCATACAATTTCTCTTACTTGTGTTTAAAAAGGATTTGAAAAATTTACAATATGGAATGTGGACTCTTGTAGGCGATAATGGAGTAACACTCAGCGGAGGACAAAATGCAAGACTAAGTTTAGCTCGTGCACTGTACAGAAACTGTGACATTTATCTACTGGATGATCCATTGAGCGCTGTTGATCCAAAAATAGGCAAATTTATTTATCAAAAGTAAAAAGTATAGATCAATTTTAATTTTACTCATTACCGATGGTATCTTCTTTTAGATGTATTAGAAGCTTTCTAAGGCATAAAGTTTGCATATTGGTAACACATCAGATTCAATATTTAAAAAAATGCAACGAAAATATTATGCATGGAAAAAGTAAACTGATAATGTTGACTGATCAGTATGAATTTTTCAATAGATGTTACTGAATCTCTCTATAGGGTCGTATTATTGATGAAGGAACATATCATGAATTACTGGACAAGAGGGATATTTTTCATCATTTAATTCATGAAATTCAGCATCAGAAGTCCGAAAATAATTCAGAAATAAATGATAAAAATAAATTAGAACAGTTAGAAAGTGGACTAGATTCGGTAAAAGTGTACTTAATGAAAAATCGTTACTATTTAATAAATCTAAATGAATCTCTTTCTACTGGAACATAGATGATGGATGACGAGTATCAACATCAGAATTCATTTACCAATGATAATAAACAAACACTTTTGAATAATGAGAAACCACGAGAAGTTCAAACTAATGAAAACACAGATCTTAACTTAATTAATTACAAATTATTTATAAAATATTTTCTGTCTGGGATTGGTCTTTTTGGAATGTTTATTATTATACTCTTATTCACTTTTACAATAATATTGAACATTGGCACAGATTGGTGGTTATCAAGATGGTGAGAGCTGACTTATTGTAATCATTCTATTGCAAATAAGTTGCGATTTTAAAGGTCTAATCAAGAACAGACACGCCACGGGAGATCAAATTTAAATTGTTCGACAAAAGTTGATGATAAGATTTTAAATATGTCATCTGACGCATGGCATCATCATCGAAATAGAAATTTTTACATTTATGCATTATTAGTTGGCAGTGGAATAACATTCTCAATAGTTAAAATAATCCTATTTTATATATCGTGTACTATTGCTGCCCGTTCTTTACATAACGAAATGTTTCAGAGAATTCTGCACTCTCAAGTTTTATTTTTTGACAAAAATCCTATCGGTAAATATTAGCAATTTTTGAAAGAAGGTATTAACACATTGTTCTATTTCAGGACGGATAATCAATCGATTTTCGAAAGATACAGCGATCATTGATGGAAGATTACCATCACAATTGATTGACTATATTGATGTATGATTTAAAGTTCCTTGAATCAATTCGACTGAACTGTGTTTTATTTTCTTAGCTTACGTTTACAACTGTTGGAACGTTTGTTTTTATTAATATTATTAATCCTTGGACTTTGATTCCAACTATTTTGGGTTTTATCGGCTTATTATATATTCGCCAAATATATGTATCATCAGCACAAGATTGTCAGCGATTAGAAAGTTTAGGTATGTATTTATACGCCATAACGGTATCCGCGAAAAAAAACAACCGATTTTTTCATTAAAACTCCGTTTTAAAACGTTAGTATGTGATATGAAATGTGCACTTTCAGAATCTACGTCATTGTCTTCTCTACAAACGATGTTTGAATGTGTTTTAAATAGAAATTTTTAGAAGTTCTTGATGATGTAATCAATCTTTTGTAGATATTCAGACTCTTCTCTTGTAAATAAAATGTGAAGCAATTCTATGGCGCTTCGCATTTAAAAGTTATAAGTATTTTTCTTCCAACTTCAAAATGCATCACTGAATACACAGTGTATGTTCTCCTCTTGAGAATGTCTTTCAGTAAGATTTCAAGAACGGTACAACATAGGCTCCTAGTTTTCTTTGTTTAACGCACGCAACAGAAATGAACAAATTGGTTAACCGGATTGGGAAAGTTTCATTGGGAGGCGGCGGAGCCGTGGGTGGCTTGGACAGAGATATAAACAGCGACCGGCTGATTGAAATCGATCTACGCCGGTCCGCGCAAATTTTAGACCAATTACATATATAGAAACTCCGACCCCAAATATGTGCTCGCAGTTTAAGCATCCACAGATTCGCAGGACTGAACACAGACTAAAGTCTAAAGAAATAAATAAGGAGTATTTACAATGTTTATGTGTCTAGTGAAAGGTCAGAATGAGGATAAAATCAGTTTTTAAGATTAATTTTTCCACAAAATTACTTTTCTATCTACGAGCGGCTTCAGAAAAAAAGTTAAACATCTTCAAGTATTGAAGCACTTTGGCGTCTCTGGTCTTATTTTCATCCTCCTCATCATCTACGAACTCTGGAATAATTGATTATTTCAAGCTATAATTCTATCACAACCTATTTGACAAATGTATTTTAATCTCTAAAAGTTTCGTTTTATACCTTTGCATGGTTTGGAAACGAAGTGCCGTGAGAGGGGATCCTTTAACTTTCTGATGACGTATCCAGTAGAAATAACTTGCATTCATTTAGCCGACTTAAGGGTCTTTCCGCGCAGGTCCGCCCACTATTACATTCACTATTAGCCGCGAAAACTTCACTTTCCCCATCGTGTAGAGCATCAAAAATAATCTAAAGGTCTCGCTTACGCTTTTTTGAAAAAACATGTGAAAAGTGGTTTTCTAGACACCTGAAGTTTTTGGTGAGGGTGACACAGAAGTCAGTGAAAATGAACGAAACATTGCATAATTATACATCAAATTGTAGCTCTTGACGAGTTGATTCTAATGGTGAAGGAATTTGGTCTTGATCTAACTTTACATTCGAGTGACCCTCCATTTACTTGAAAATTTTCTGAAGTTTGACCTCGATTTTCTCCTAAACGCTCCGAAAATTTTTCGAGATTTTTTCAGAATAGGAACTACTTAGTAGGATCTATAACTTTGCCCATACAACTATCCTCGACACTTTCCATTTTTCATCCTCAGTTTTCCAGAAATCCTCTTAGAAAACTGGGGT